ATACAGAAACATATAGTGGTTACAATTGTAACAATAATGGTATATGAGTTCCCAGGCTTAGAGACTTTGCAACTTAGCAGTAGCATATTAGCAGTAGTAATAGAGTTAAAATTATCCAATATTTCTAGAGAACACATATTATTCATAATTCCTTTGAGTCAATACAATGAACCAACAATGTTTCCAAACACACAAATTACTTGAAATTTTATAATAAAAAAAAAATTATATGAATGAAAATAATTTTAAAGATAGCAAATTCATGTCCTTAAATTAAGAGATGCTATTTAATTTTAATTTATGTAAATTTTAAAATATGAACGACCAAGAGTTCTTTTCGTGCTTTTGGACAGTTATACAAAAATATAAAGTGGTTAGAATTGCAAAGAAACTTTCCTTGAGAATGAAAAATTATCAGCAACTTCTTTTGCTATTAGCAGATACTTTATGAAGCAATCAATGGCTCTGGACTGGACAAATGGAAACTTTTTTAACATAAAATCAGGAATAAAAAGAATTGTTTTAATTACAATCTGATGGTATAACTTTTCAGTCATGCTGCAACAAACAGAAAACTGTACTGCATAAAGTAACAATTATACATTCAACTTATAAAACATTAAAATTAAAATCAAGATCATGCACTAATGATAATGCGGTAGCCATCTTACCTATCCTCTCAAACATGACGATCTTTAATGTATGCTAAAATTGACATTGAATAAAGAAGTAAATATAATTTTTTTGTCACTCACATTGTAATTGCTCTAATACTTTGTTTGAAGATCTTTGTAGGGCACTTTTTACAGTTTCTGATAATTTCACAATCTCTTGTCGCTGTTGTTGCTGTGGTTGTTCTCGATATTTCTCTTGAGTTTTATAGAATAGATTTCTTTCAATGATTGATTTGCGAGGTTTGGATGTTGACTTTAAACTATTGGCTGATTTCTTTTTATCTTCTTTGTCCTGAATGCAAAAATGAAAAGAAAAGAAATCTCAGGCAAAAACACAAGAATTGTTTCCAGAAATTAGTATTAAATAGATGAAATAAATTTGCTTGGCTAATTTATCTAAAAAAAGTATTTGGAAGAAAAAAAAAAAAAAAATGTTCACAATCAAATTCAAAGCCACAGTCAGATCAGTGAACCTGATCACAGAAATTCAACTGTGCATGTATAAAATTAAATGAATATATAATATTAAAATAATCTAGAAAATTAGTTGCTAATTTATTATGCATGCAATTTGACCAGAGTTAATTGATTAACAATATGTGTAGTTTAGATGAGTCTCCATTACTACGACGCCACTTGTACAACTTCAAGATACCGCTAGTTCAATCCGCTGTTCTTGTTTTCCCAAACACTTCATAACGTATAATCTAATAATTTTTTCCCCCCTCTTCAATGCTTCAACCCTCTTTTATCAGGCCAACTCATTAAGAAGAATACATGTCTGCTATTCTGGAATTTTCTCTTAAAACAAAATTCATATCACGTTCTGTTTTGTATGGGTTTTTAGCATCCTTCATCTAGTTCTTTTTCATTGACAACCACAGTTGCTCAATGTCAGAAAATTATAATTATTAAAAAAACATTTCATTTTTACATCTCTTTAAGTCTCTTCACCCATATCTCCGAAAAGACTATTAATTGTAACTGAATGAAAATATCAACACTGATTTTCCTTATAGAAATTGTCATAGCAGAGCCACTGCATGTCACCTGACATTTTCACGTGTCTCCTTTCAGTTTGTTTTTGATTTGTCTTTTGATCATTTATAAAAGTATATCTATGTAGTCAGTTTAGAATGTTGTCTGCTATAGAAATTTTTAGGCAGTTCTTTCAAATATTTATGATTGTCATAGCAAACTTGCCGATATCACGTCGCATGTTAAGGCAAGACCCTTATTTTCCTATGCACCAGATTCAAGCCACTCTGGCTCGCTTTTTTTCATGGGGCTGTTCACCACATGATCTCATGATCACAAAACATACAGTCGCGAACAGGTCACTTTTGCTGGGTACTTCGTCAAGGAGGTGGAGCAACACGAGCTTCATCTTCAGATGAACTGTCATCAGGGGAGCTAGCAAAATGTACCACATTAGTATTCTGGCTGCTAACAGTTGGGGAGTCGTCCTCTACGTTTGTTCAACAGCTTCAGTATCAAGAGAGTGATCAGTTTCTCTTAATGGGGTTAATCTTAAATTTACTAACTGCTCACTCTCTTGTCTAGCTGTCGGGACCGATCCCCTGAAGGGATGCAACTCCATCGACATGCACTGACTGTGGACTAGTAACCTGTGTCACATGGCCCATTCTAAATTTAGTCGTGCATCTCCCGTGAGGAGTTTTCACCCAAACTCTTTGAGTATTCTGAGGTTCAATGGAGGACATAGCCTCAATGCCCCATATATGAGTATGGTACCTATAAAGTGCATCAGCTGGTGCAGTAGTAGGCGAGTGATTATCTTTAGGCATAACATTATACCAGTAGACAGATCTGGTATAGAGCACTGCTTTCTAGCTGCAATGGTTTTGATGCTTCAGTGACTTCTTTCTATATACCATTCCCGGCAGGTGCATAAGCACATTGGAACCGCAAATGTACACCCCAATTGCTCAAAAAATCCTTGAACTATTAGCACGTGAATGCGGTGTCATTGTCGGTCAATATCTCGAGTGGTGGACCCTGTTCATAAAAAATTGCCTCTAGCTGATGAACTACACTAGTAGAATCTTGTTGACATAGTTGTCGCCATATCACGAACCGGGAGGGTCCACAATCAATAATTGTCAGAAAGTGCTTACCACCATGGTGGGTGATGTCCATTGCTAACTTATTCCAGTTATCCCTCAAATTCAGCTTTCCTTTTTGCCAATGCAACGGAGCAGGGTCAATGGTCTGGCAAGCCTCACATTCCTTGACAACCACTTTTACAAGTTCTGATGATACTGAAGGGTCTATCAACCTAACAAAGTACAGGGTCCTTTTCATGCCCGGGTGTCCGGTTTTCCAGTGGATATTAGTCACTTCATGTGCATCCAACTTGGTCTTGCAGTGGCGCATACTGACTGCATTGGCTATGTTCCCTCCTTGTGTAGGTTTAACCACCTTTTTGGCACCCTGGTCAACCAGTCTGCCAGATTCATGTTGGATTTGACCAGTGTTATGTCCACTGTCAAGCCATATTCAGCTACAAGCTCACAAAGTGTGTTCAACCATCTCCGCACTAGCATTTCCCTAGACGCCTTCGTATAAATGTTGTCAATGTATGCAGATGTGGCACTCGCAATTGCTTTGTCTTGCGACAATACTGTGTCAAATATGGCCTTCATGATGAGAGGTGCTATCGGTGGAATCATGCCAAACTGTACAAAAACCCACGTTACCACACATACTGCTACAAGTGGTAGGCAGGAGAGTAATGCCAGTTTCACAGAGCAAACTTGCCGATGTCATGTGTTACATGTTAAGGTAAGACCCTTATTTTCCTATGCACCAGATGCAAGCCACTCTGGCTCTCTTTCTTCCATGGGGCTGTTCACCACAATAAGTATAATTAATATGTTTATAAACTGTTCTCAATTGGCATTAATTAATGAAAAGCATCCAAATTAAGACAATTAAAAGGGTGTTGACTTCCATCAGACCTCACGTCTTTTTTTTTTCAGATCTGGCAGAAATTGGTACATATTTGGTTAGTATGTTGTACTTCATTACAAATTACCATTTATTTTGATCTCTACAAAATTCTCTTAATGTGAAGAACTTAAAATCTCTGGAAGCCTGTAAAAACCCCTTAGACAGGTTGATCATCATATGCCATGTTCTGGGAGAATGGAAGAATGAAGCTGCATCAATGACAAAAGGTAGTGGAACAAAATGGCACATATGTATTTGAATAAATGTACAAATATATAATTATTGTTCTTGGAATTTGTTAAAAAATTCTACAATTTCCAATTCATCATATATATAACATGACCCGATTTAATTGTTTATAAATATAATAAGTATAATTAACAGTATTTATAATTATAAGAAAACTTCATTAAGATTTAATCATTTATTAAGATTAGTGCCATAAGCTTTGTTCTTTACACTGGATATTTTCAGCAATTATAACTCTCTAGTTATATATTGTATTCATTTAAGAATTGAAGTTCTTTCTTTCAACATACTTTTTTTCCCTTATACCTGAAAATCTAAAAAAAATTGAAATACGAAAGAATTAAAAAAGAAAAAACAACATTTAATATTTTGGCAAACATGCATCACTCTAGCAATAATGAAAATCCTAAACAAATCAAATGTAAAATTGAGTGTTATTTTTTTAATCATTTTGTGGCACTATTTTGGTTACTGCTAAATATGCATGATGTTTTTGAATAGCATGAATGATATACTGATAAAACTATCCTGTACTCAAAAAATGTACTTGAAAATTCTAAAACAAACCAGACGATCAGCTGAGAGCAACACTTAATTTTTATGACAGAGCAACACTTAATTTTGCTGACAATTGATTAATAACACCTGCCAAGAGTGTTATCCGTGGTACCAAGGTGAAGAGAGTTGGATAAAATTTGAAATAACAATTTGGAAATAAGGTTTACTTAGGGACTGTCTCTGACACAAGCCAAAGGACACAGATGGCCATGTGGCCAGTATCTGATTTCCTCCAACAAAGGAATGTAAAACTGACTTGGAGAATTTCTCTGCAGAAGCGACAGGTTTGAAAATAATAATTTCTTGACTTAATTTTTATAATAGAAACACATGGCAGTATTTTGACATTTTGATGAATGACAATCACCATGATGCTAGCCACAAAGCCAGAGGTGGATGGAATCAAATAAGAATTAAAAACAAAACATATTGTAAAGTTAAAGGTTTTCCCTTGGAAAAGGTCATCTGCTTTTGTTCAACTCTGAGACCAGGAAAATCCAACACTGGTGGCAAGGTGATAATTCTTTTTAATTAACAAACTTGGAATTAGTGTTTGCTGGGTGGTAGAGGTGATAGGCACAGGTGAGAAACAAAGGAAGGTGGAGAAGCTGCCCATGCCCACTGAAGAATAACAGGCACAGAAGAGAGACCAAGGAAAGTGGAGAAGCTGCTTGCACCCACTGAAGAGTGACAGGCACAGAAGAGAGACCAAGGAAGCTGGATAAGCAGCCTGCACCCACTGAAGAGTAGCAGGCACAGAGGAGATACCAAGAAAGGAGGGGGGAGGAGCTGTCCATGCCCACAGAGGGGTATTAGGGGGAGATGCTAAGAAGAGAAGGAAGAAGTTTTGGGACAGATTAAGGCCTGTGACCATCACTGAGAAAAGAGGCAGACTTCCAAATTAGGAAGTAATTAATTCCCAGAACCCAGACAAATGGAGAAGTGGTTCTTTGTGACAGGTAGAGAAAATTTCCAGATATGCAAGAAAGAAAACTACTCAAATAGAACTTATGGTTACATCTAGATATTTCAACAGTAAAATGATGAGACCTAGTTGCCAATCTAGTACTGTGCTTAAATTCACATGGTCATGGTACCAAGGAGGAGAGCTCATAAGAGCAACTGCCATGAAAATATTTATGAAAAGACAAAGGGAAGTCACATCACAGCAGTGGGAAAGTGACTCAAGTCAAGATGCTAGGTCAGGACTGATAACATTGCAGATTCTTCTTTTTTTTTGTAGAAAGTCAAGCTTTTTTCTATACTTACTTTTGTTTAGTAAACTAAGAAATATGCTATACCTGCATGTGTGGTATCATGAGAGAATAAACGGAACAACAATTACCACCCATGAGGTGAAAAGATAAGAAGGCAGAAAGTCTCTTTGTGGGCAAAGGAAGCAACTGAGAAAGGGAGAGTTGGTATGGCCTGGAGTTGATGCATGTGTTGGATTGGTTGATTGACGACACTGGTGATGACATTGACAGCTTACTGCAATTATCTACAGTATTGTGAGCAGTATTCTAAAAATAGATGTGGTGGATCATGACTCATCATTTTTTTCATGTTTTTTTGCTTTGACAGCAATGTTTGTGAGTGGCTCTTTTTATATTGCTGTTTTTTGGGGTTTTTTTTAAGGTGATTTATTTTGTGAGCTGGATGTGATGCTCGGAGCCCTGCACAGAGAGTGACTTCTTTATTTTTATTTTTACTTTCTTAGCATTCACATCCAGCCAACATATATAGTAAATCAGAAACAAATTTAATTTGAAGCAAAGCATAACAAATATAACCAAAACTATTACAGTGCTGAACTGTCAAATGGCTTAACAGAAAACATTTAAAACAGTTTTTAAGTATAAAACTTAACCAGTGATTTGAAAGGAAATTCAAAATCTATTTGAGAATGCAAAACAATAAAGAGCAAAAAAACTACAGGGTTAAATTCTTTTTTATCCTAATTGGGTCTAAAGAAAATATCTGTTAATAATACCAATTGTTAATTTCTGTAATAATCCTTGTCATTTGTTACATATTAAGGGGACAGAATAAAGGAGATAAAATTAGTTATAAATCTTACCTTTGTAGATGGTTCAAAGTTCAAAGTTGGAAGTGGGTTTTTAATAGTCAGAAAGCCATCAATAAAATGATTTGAATAAACCTATAAACACAAATAAAAGATTATTTTTCTTACCGTGAACATGCAATTATTTAAGTTTTCAGTAGTCTTATAGAAGGAAGAGAGGGTGAAAATTTGGCCTTATAAAATATTCAATTGATTAACAAAGAAAAAGGAAAAAAAAGGTTTATACTTTCATTTTATAAATATTTTTATATATTTTATATTCCAGAAGTTGTTGAGATGTTTCCCAAAAATTGTTTTTTTTTGTTTTTTTTGGTTAGTCCTGTTTTTTATTATGAAGACAGTTACATGACAGGAAATAGACTAAATACAGGATGATTTAATGACTCCTTTTACTACTTTGATTTGAATTGTTACCCTAACTGCTATTTGAACCAGATACTTGATATGTTGCTTTTCATTTATAGATAGTGTACAGATGTAGTAGTAAACACAAGACCATGTGAATATTTAACAGAAAAATGCTTCACTCTATTTGAATGTTATTTGAAGAGTATAACATTTCTAATAACTTAATAATTATGTATGCTTAAATGTTGAAACTTTGCAGATGAAAAATTTGATATTTGCTTTAAATGCTGTGTAATTGTTATCTTTCTCCATAATTTAATCAAGTTAATTACATTTTATTTTTTGTTGGTATCCACTCAGTAGAGATATTGTAAACTATTAATACTTTTCAATAAAAGGTTTATATTTTATCTGAAATTGGTCATGTTTTGGTATGTGCTCTAATATGAACCTGTCTAATTTGTTTATTTTACCGAATTTTAATTTATACAGATTTTAAATTTTACTGAATTTTTAATTTATACAGATTTTAAATTTTCTCTTCACAATCACTAGTCTTATACTGATTTCAACTGTTTCTTTAAAGACACTTTTTATAAAGTACACCCACATATAAATAAATTAAAAATTTCTATGGCAGACAACATTCTAAACTGACTACATAGATACACTTTTATAAATGATCAAAAGACAAATCAAAAACAAACAGAAAGGAGACACATGAAAATGTCAGGTGACATGCAGTGGCTCTGCTATGACAATTTCTATAAGGAAAATCAGTGTTGATATTTTCATTCGGTTACAGTTAATAGTCTTTTCGGAGATATGGGTGAAGAGACTTAAAGAGATGTAAAAATGAAAGGTCATGTTTTTTTAATAATTATAATTTTCTGACATTGAGCAACTGTGGTTGTCAATGAAAAAGAACTAGATGAAGGATGCTAAAAACCCATACAAAACAGAACGTGATATGAATTTTGTTTTAAGAGAAAATTCCAGAATAGCAGACATGTATTCTTCTTAATGTGTTAAAGTCTCTAATGTGACTGTTCCACTGGGCTTAGGGTGGAAAGAAAAGTTATGTGAGACTGCCACTGAAAAGTTAAAGCAACACAAAGACAACATGAGACGTTAACTTTATTATTCAAACTACCCGCTGGATCCGTTTTGCTCCCAGCATTCCCTAGTGAGACTAGAAGTGCTTACAATCATCATCATAATCAACATTACTGATGTTGTTATAACAATAACCATCATGTTAAAGCAACATTCAATTACCTATTTTAGAAATGCACATCTTTCAGTGTGATATTTGAAGTCTATATCTTCTAGCTTTATTTTGATATTTAAAATATAAATTGAGTCAGTTATAAGCAATCAATGAATTTTTTAATCAACATAATTTTTTTGTTACTATAAACATTATATTTAATGGGTAACCATACTTGAGATGGCAACCAAGTTATTTCAAACAGTGAAATTAATATCAACCAGCTTAGAGATTGAGAATTTCTAACTAGAGAAAATGTGCATTCTGATAGGAATTGAACCTTTATTCTCTTTTTCTATATGACAAACGATTCTCTGGCTGAGTGTAGCCTATAGGCAACCATCATGATAAACAAGGTTCAAGAGTAATTAACATTGGCCTTATCTCAGAATTTTGTAGAAAAAAAACAATTCAATTCTACTTTCTATGATTAGGGGATATTTTATATCAGTTAATGTCTATTTCTTCTCCTGAACTAGAATATATGAATTTTCAGAACTAAGAGTCAGGGTATTGAACTGACAACAGAGAAGTAGATATGTTTTAACCAAAGCTTTAATCCACTAGGCCATTTGTCTCTTAGATAATTTAATGGTATAATTCTGTAGCCTGAAATTTAATGGATATACTCAGGTGGTAGAACTGTATGAATGTCCTAACTCAGCTGGTGGAATTTTATTCAAATGAACTAGTTTTCCCAGCGTCTTTTCTTTCTTATTCAGATTAATGAGCATCATTTTCCCTACATGTGTGATCAGCCATACCTGATTGCAATGTCTCTCTCTAGACCTGAGCTTTTTAATGTTTCTCCACTCTTAATCTTAGTGGGCTACTGGTCTCTTCCTTATTACTACAACATAGGAAGGAATGTGCATAATTCTTGGTCATGTTTCTTTTCAAGCGAGTTTGAACTAGGAAATATCTCCAAAGGGTTGAACTGCTTTTGAATACTATTCTGATGTTGTATGGATCAAAGATCCCCTGAATCATTTCAGACACAGCCTTTATATATAGTAGACAGACCATGGCACATTTTTGTTGTTCTCAAGTCTGTCCCAGCTGATGCTACGTTTATCATCCTGAATAGTGTTTCTTCCACTGAGATTGTTGTGAAGTGTGAGAATACTTGACTGACACTTTCTCAGTAAAGAAGGACGATTAAATCAATGGTCTCATATTTAAAGAAGGCAAGACTTATTTCAATATCACTACATTTATGTTTCTAGTTCAACATGAGTTTGGCCTGATGTTGCACTCTTTGACACTGTATAGAGTACAACCAAAACATTGAGAATATATCTACCAAATATGCTGGTCCAAATAGCAAGGTATATAATATCTCATCTCAAAAATTCCACTACATTATATATATAAATATAATAAAATATTAATATACATAAAAGTACTAGATTGGCAGCTAGGTTTCATCATTTTACAGCTGAAATGGCTAGATGTAACTATAAGTTCTATGCTAACAGTTTCTTCTCTCTTGTGGAACTCTCTCCAGCTTCTTGTTTTCCTGTCAACTAAGATGCAATGTTAATTTTTATCTTCTGTCTTCTTAATTCCTGTTCCTTTATTGTTCTCCCTCCTTAATTATGTTTTTTTCTCATATTGTCTCTGTCAGTAACTGTTGTCTTAGTGGCTTTGTTGCCTTGCTTGGGGTGAAATGAAAAAATATATATAGATTAATTCTAAACTATATATATATATATATATATATATATATATATATAGTTTAGAATTTTGGAATATCTATAGGGGAAGAGTGGTCAAGAGATACAGAGTTTATAGCTATAGAGAGTATGGACACAGGAATCAACACTGACTGATGGCTGTTTAATGCCTCAAGTGATCTTCAGTCATGTTGCACAACTCCTTTTGCCAGCTCTGTTTATATAGTATCTGCTAAAGGAATAGTGACACAAGGTCTGAAGATAGCTTGAGGCCTGAAACTGACAGTCACCATGCATTGTTGATTCCTATTTCCACACTGTCTATATCTATTTATTGGTCTCTCTCTCTCTCTCTCTCTCTCTATATATATATATATATATATATATATATATATATATATATATATATATATGCTGGGAGGATGATGAAAAACTCTCCACTTTA